CACGAAATCTTATAGCAGTTATATAGGCCATTGTGTTATTGGGGAGGGGGTTAGGAATGTTGACCTTCTGGTGTTACAGACTGGGAGTGCCACACCAGATCTTTCAGTTTTCACTGATGATGGCTATCAGCATAGACTCTCCGTTCAGGGGTCACCATATTCCTAAGGAACTCAAAAAAGCAGTTATCATCTTATTGCAGCTGGGAGGTACGTGCACAAGCAGGGGTCGTAAAATCTACAGAGCAGTTAGATCTCCTGGAGGGTGCAGATCCAGCTGGGTTAGTTTGTCAGAGGTCATTCAAAGTTACAATAGAGTTTTTCTTTTCTACAATACGGCTTCCCTTATGTCAACCTTGTCTTGAGCCGGTATTACTAGTATAAAAGTTAGACAGGTAATTGAACTGAAATAAATTCAGTCAGCAATGAAAAAAACAGAAATATAATGTGAGCCACATATGTAATTTAAATTTTTCTAGTAGTCACATTTTTAAAATAGCAAAAAGAAACAGAAAAAAGTAATTATAATGATATATTTAAACAGGAAAAAGTAATTGCAATGATATATTTAACCCAATGTATCCAAAGATTGGTTCAACTTGTAGTCAATATACAACAATTTTACTGAGATACTAAGTCTTGGAAACCTGGTGAGTAATTTTCACCTACAGCACGTCTCATTTTGGAACAGTCTAGTTTCAAGTCCTCAACAGCCACGTGTGGCTAAGTGGCTCCCAGCCAGAGGAGCACAGCCTTAGACGACTGAAGGCAGTTTCTCTCTCAATTCATCCTGAGGGACTGCCTTAGTTCAGGTACTCCCCATCTCTTGCCCAGATTATTCCAGTAGACTCCTAACCAGTCTTCTTGTCAATCCAGCCTCTATAGCGCTGCCAAAATGATCTTCTTAATATGCTAATATGCCAATCTGATTATTACAATCCCCTGCATAAAATCCTGCATAAAAATCCAAATTCCTTAGCTTGCAGTATAAAACTTATACTCAGCCACTGAGTACCTCTCCAGTTCTGCTTACTACAGCTATAGTCAATTACGTGTTGTCATATTCTTACCTTTCTGCCCTTACAAACATGTTCCTTCAATTTCAGACATCCTCCCCTCAACCCCTGCTAATTTAGCAAACATCTGCTCTGAGTTCAGCGCTACGTTCTCACTGAAACTTTCCCCATTTCCCACCAGGGAAGGTCAGATACACTCCTCCAAACTCCCTTTCACAGGATCCATCACATTGTGCCGTGGAGTCCAATTTTATGAGAGTTTGGCTCTAATACAATCACGTTAGGCTAAAACCAGACTCAAATTACCTTTGGAAATTTCTGAGGAAACCATGGCCATATTGGGAACTGAAATTTGCTGTTCTCTGCAGTCCTAAATGCACCTTCCTCTGGGATTTGGGCACATCTCCATTTCACAGATGAGGGAAATATCAAAGAAGTTATGACTGGTATGGAATTTTAAATTAGTAAGGTTGCTAACATTATTCTTAGGCTGTCCCATGATTATCAGCACTGCTTTTCCAACATCTTGTTAAAAAAAAAATCACTGGGATACTATTATCTAAGGAGGTTATTTTTCTCTTTAATCCTCTTGCTTCCATTCTATTCATGCTAGTTCTTGTTCTATTCTAACCCACTCTAATCATTAAGATGGATGTTGGAATGATTGAGTCTTCTGGACAGAATATTTCTTTTTCCTCACAGATGTTTCCTCCCTCCTCCCATCCTTCCACCCTTTTTTAGGTCAAAGGAGGTGGTAGTTAATTCTTGAGTCTGTTGTAGGTGTGTGAGGGAGAGTATAGCAAAATTCTTAAAAACATCATTAAATCTCTAATAACTTACTACATCTGAAAATTCAGTTTTTACCTGATCCCGGTAAAGCACCAATGACAAAAAATCTCTAAATACCTTTCCGTTTTTAGGGGACAGGGCCTGCATGCAGCATGCAACTTCCAATTCATTGAAAGAGCCATCAGCCCTTAAGACAATTTGTGTGTCAGTCATTCTGCAGGCGTGGAAAAGGACCAAGAGAGGCTACTGAATGCCCACAGCCCCTAATTCCAGGGAAAGGGCTGTTCTTGGGTCTGGAATGGGTCTATGAAACTCCCACACCTTGGGATATAGGGGACCAATTTGGTAGATTCCCTGAGGATGCTTACCATCCCTAGAAGAAGAAGGAAGGTAAGACAAAATCCATCTATTCTTGCAATTTTGGAGGATTTAGGAGGCTGGCAGAAGCCAAGAAGGAGATGGCTTAGGCCATCCTACAGCTGAGTAGACACACAGTTACGTGGGAATACAGTGGCCCCGGTGTAAGGCGGCATATCCCTTACACCACTCCACCAAAGAAACGTTATTTTTGAGTTAATGCTTGGACATCTTATTAGTCAGTTTTGCCATAACCGTGTTGTTCTTTATTTCTCTGAAAATAAACTCTTCCTTTAAAAAGTATATGAGGCATGTGGAATATAAACTAACAGACAGAGAGAAGAGTTTGGTGGTCACCAGGGGGAAGGGAGTTGGGGGGTGGGCACAAGGGGTGAAGGGGCGCATTTATATGGTGACTGACAAATAATAATGTACAACTGGTATCTCACAATGCTATAAACTATTATGACATCAATAAAAAAATTATAAAAAAAAGTACACGAGGAGTTACACAACATTGTGAATGTACTAAATGCCACTAAATTGTACACTTTAAAATGGTCAATGGTTAACTTTATGTTATATGAATTTTTACCTCAGTTTTTAAAAATGAAAAAGTATATGATGAGAAAAATGCTGCAGGATTACCAAGGCCATCATATTTTCCTTTACTGTGGGTACAGGACACACTTGGTCCTATAATGTTGCCCAGGAATGGATCACGAATCCTAAGACTGCTGTGATGGGCTCTGAGAGAAGAGATTATAATGTCAGAATACTTAGCTCCCAGGATGTGATTAAGCTCATTTTGTTCGTCAGTAAAGTGGCATCATAACATTCTTTCTAGCATATTAAAGGAAATGAATCCTAATTAACATCTGTAATAGCTCAGGAAGCCTCCTTGTTGTCTTTTAAGTGAAAACTACTGAGACTTTTTTTTATCTCCAATTTTGAACCATCTCTTAGAAACAGTGGTGGCAGAATGTATGTGGTAAGGGATAAACAAATGCACGGAATAAAAAGAGTTGGAAAGATGCTTAGCAATAAACATAGGAATAACTTATAAATTATCATATTTTTAACGAAATTATCTTTTATTAGAAAATTCTAAGCATCCATTCCCTTGTCGTAAAATGTCACAAAAAATGGCCGCCAAAAATTCATCCCTTTCCTGGTATGTGCGTGCTGCCTTTTCTATCAAAAGGAGAGATCTATTTTTCCTCCCCTCAAGTCTGGGCTGGTCCTGTGACTTGCTTTAACTGGCAGAATGTGACAGAATTGTCACTGTGCCAGTTCTAAGCCTTGCCCTTAAAAGTCCTGGCAGGTCCTGTTTTTTCTCTCTTAGAATCCAGCCACCATGTAAAGAAACTTGAGCTAAACCACTGAAAAATACTGAGATGACATGGAGAAGCGAGGAGAGGCCCACCTGGCCCCCAGCCGTTACAGCCACCCAAGGCAAGTCAGAGAAGCTGTCTCAGACACCTAGCCACATTAGTGACCCCAGTGGACACCAGAAGAACTGCCTAGCCGATCCAGATAACTGTAAGAAATAATAAATTACTGGTGATTTAAGCCACTATGGAATAGTCTGTTACACAGCAATAAATAACTGATAAATCCCACATTCCCCTAACCAATTTTCTTCTAGAACCCTGGATTTAGAATTGGAATTGAATTTCTGCCAATAATAAAAGGACCAATCAGTTTGATCCCCAAAGAATCTCGAAACCTCTAAATTGAATATTTCTCTAATTTTCAAAACCAAAAGTCCTTATATCTGACAGAGCATTTGTCACCAGAATATTTAAAGAATTCCTATAAATCAATAATAAAAAAGACTTTTGTAATGGACAAAAGACCTGAACAAGAGAATAAATATGATATATACAGTCAATAAGCAAACGAAAAGGTGCCCAACATCATCAGTCATTAGGTAAAATACAAATTAAAACCACAATGAGACACCACCTCACACCCCCTAGAATGATTAAAATTAAAAAGACAATACCAATACCAAGTGTTGGTGAGGATATGTACCAACTCATATATTCTTGGTAGGAGTGTAAAATGGTAAAACCACTTTAGAAAACTGTTGGGCAGATTCTTATAAAATTAAACATATACCTAACCCATACACCTACAATTCTACTCCTAGGAAAGCACATATCCACAAAATGGTTTGTACAAGAATGGCAGCTTTGCTCATAACACCAAAAAACTGGAAACAAATGTCAACCAAAAAACAAAAGGATACACAAATTGTAGTATATTCCTTCAATGGAACACAACTCAGTAATAAAAAGTAATAAACTACTTGATGAACACAACAACATGGATGAATCTTAGTGACTTTTTTTTGAATGAAAGAAGCCAAACAAAGGATTTCATATGAAGTTTAAGAACTAATCTGCAGTTCTTTCAGCTGGAACCACTATCTTCCAGTAATTCATCAAAATAACCAACACGAGGGGCCGGCCCGGTGATGTAGTAGTTGAGTTCGCACGCTCCGCTTCGGAGGCCTGGGGTTCGCAGGTTCAGATCCTGGGTGCAGACCTATGCGCCACTCATCAAGCCATGCTGTGGCGGCATCCCATATACCAAACAGAGGAAGATGGGCACAGATTTTAGCTCAAGGCTAATCTTCCTCAGTAAAAAAAAAGAGGAAGATTGGCAATGAATATTAGCTCAGGGCCAATCTTCCTCAGCAAAAAAAAAGAAAGAGGAAGATTGGCAATGAATGTTAGCTCAGGGCCAATCTTCCTCACCAAAAAATAAAAATAAAAACCAACACGAAGGGAAACAGGAGAGGTACCCGGTATATGCTCTCTAGGCCTTTTAGAAAACACAGAATTGTTCCTTTGGCTACATACATGTGAATCTACAAGAAAGGTGATATTGTAGACATCAAGGGAATGGGCACAGCTCAAAAAGGAACGCCCCACAAATGTTACCATGGCAAAACTGGAAGAGGTCCACCTGAGGAAAGCAGAGGAAGTACATGAGCAAGTGAGTTTTTCAGAAGTTAGGTAAAGAGGAAAATTATTTTTATAGCTATATATGAGAAGCTTAGGGTAAACGAACAGAGCATTATTAATTAAGCCCCGTTGACATAACAAGAATAAATTAACAACATAGTTTAATAACCTTGATATCTGAACCACAATACTTTTGTTCATAAACTTTTTGTAAAACAAAAAATAATTCCTCAAATGGGTGATTGGTTTTTTAAGGACTCAAGAGATTTTTCCAGCCTTTTTTTTTTTTTTTTTAAAGATTTTATTTATTCATTTTTTTCCTCCCAAAGCCCCAGTAGACAGTTGTATGTCATAGGTTCACATCCTTCTAGTTGCTGTACGTGGGACTCGGCCTCGCGTTGGACGGAGAAGTGGTGCCTTGGGGCGTGCCCGGGATCCGAACCCAGGCCGCCAGCATCAGAGCGCGCGCACTTAACCGCTAAGCCACGGAGCCGGCCCTCCAGCCTTTTAACAAATATTTACTGAATAGCTTATATGAATAAGATACTCTGCTGAAAGAGGTGAGGCAGCGAAGATCCAAAAATCCAGACTTCTATAGTACTATCTCATAGTAATATCTCATAGAATTTATTCACTACAATATGCAGATTCATTACATATAATATGCAGGAGTATAATGATTACTGCACTCAGCAGACTCAACAAACGTTACCGTACTATCAGCAATCTGATGCCAGATTAATTCACACAACCATCTGTACAACTAATGAACGAAGCTGACAACTGGAACTTTTCAAAATCTATCTGATTTATCAAATGCCAACCCATCAAGATTTCCGGACCACAAGAATACCATTAAAATTTTTTTTTATCATAATAAGATACAGTATCTGCTTTCCACCAGATTTAAAAATTAAATGGGGAGATAGGACACCATTCTTATTTCTTCTTCAGGTCATAAGACCTATGTAACTTACATGACAAATGACTGATAAAGAATATTATACTACAGATGACTGAAACAAGAGATTACTCATCAAAGGTCCTAGACTAGGATAATTTTAAAGTTTGCCTAGACAGACCAATCTCACACAAAAATTTATTTTTTTACATCCCTGAAATAAGTCTTTAAACTTCTGTTCCAGTGACCTCGTGAAATAATATCGTACTTTTTAAACAGTCAATCATTAGAAAAAAAATTTTTAAGAAGCAACCTGCTTTCCTGTAACTCATACTCTGTAGTCCCAATTCGGCTCTCTAGACCTTGTGAGGTCCACATTCTCTTCTTCAAGACCAGGCCTCAAATCTTCAAAATTGGTTGATATATTCACTAATTTCCTCTTTTACCATTTCTCAAGAAAACAGTAAATAAAGAACCTTCACCATCCTATTCTCTAGTCCCTGGATTCAGTAATTAAAAAAAAAGAAAACAACACTGAACACCTATTCTCTGCCAAGCATTAATATTCTATATTGTAGGTACTGGAGATACAGCAGTGAATAAAACAGACATGGTCTCTGTTTCACAGAATTAACATTTTAGGGGATGTGCTCCAGTTAATTAATGCATATCTTAAAATCTGTCACCCTAGTTCAAGGCAATTGAATACAGTGGAATTATTCTAAACATAACATACAACTAACGCAACCTAGGAGTCACACTAAAATTTTTTTTTTGTAATTTTTTTTTCCTCCCCAAAGCCCCAATGCATAGTTGTATATCATAGTTGTACGTCCTTCACGGCTCTTTTTTTTTGTGAGGAGATCAGACCTGTGCTAACATATGCCAATCCTCCTCTTTTTTTGCTGAGGAAGACTGGCCCTGGGCTAACATCTGTGCCCATCTTCCTCCACTTTATATGGGACGCCGCCACAGCATGGCTTGCCAAGCAGTGCGTCGGTGCGTGCCCGGGATCCCAAACAGTGCACCCCGGGCCACCACAGCGGAGCGCACACACTTAACCGCTTATGCCACCGGGCCAGCCCCGCTTCATGGCTCTTCTATGTGGGACGCTGCCTCAGCATGGCTTGATAAGCAGCACGTAGGTCCGCACCCGGGATCCGAACTGGCGAACCCCAGGCCACCAAAGCGGAGAGCACAAATTTAACTGCTATGCCACCAGGCCGGCCCGACTAAAATTTTTTTTGATAACCTGATCATATTGTTGAGTTATGCAGTCAATTCATTTTTTAAAGTGAATATATAATTATACGCCAAGTATATACTAGGAACTACGAATATAACAACAATAGAGTATACTTCTGCCCTCAAAGACTATGAAATCCCATAAGGAAGACAAACAAATAGACGACTATAGAGCAGTGAAATAAGTATTATAAAGGCGGTGTCTACAGAGTGCTAGAACACAGGGGAAGGGTACTTGACTTGGAATATACAGCAGAAGTTCTCCTAACCAATCTCTTCGTAACTAATAACCTGGACTGAACTAATGCTCTGTTTCTCCTGTGAAACATAATGGCTGTTGTCCACAGGAGCCCAAAAATACTCATGGCCAGTATCACTTCTGCTTCCTCTACTTGAATTTGTTTCCACAGCCATTCCCAACCCGTTTATGCAGTTGTACATGATACTGAATTCATAATTTAATTATTAAGTAAACCTATAAAATATGATATGAAGAGAGTTGTAATTTCTATGACAATGAAGCTGAATAAACTTATAGGCAAGTTGCTAAAAAACACCCTGCTGTCCAATTAGATACAGGAAGACTGAAGATTAGGGTAGAAAATCATAAAAATCTAGAAGGATTTTGCACTCAGATTTCTTCAAAATGGCTTTAAATTCTCTCTCCACTGTAAAGAAACAAAAACTAAAAATCATAGATAATTCATTACATGTGGGGTTTATACAAGAAACATCACAAAAAAATTATAGTCAGCAGATCCTTATTCAAAGAAAAAGCCTTGGTCCTAAAATAAAAGATTTATGAAACATATATATGTAGGTTTTAAGAGAAAATGTTTAAAATATGCATGCAACTTTTCTTCACAGTTTATCAGACTTTTTGATTAACTGGTACCGGCTACAGTGGAAAAAAGCCTTCAACTGCAACAGTCCCCTAAAGAGAAATTAGGACACCAAGAGAGGTGTCAGGCTGCCGCTGTGTACGGGGTGATTAAAGACATAGACTTAAGTCTGAAAAGGTGAAAACTGAAAGGGGAAACAACCCAAGCAATAACATCAGCAACAGCACGAACAAAGTAGACCCGGATTTGTTTACCAAACTCTGAAACGTTGGGATAAAGGCAGCCTCGGACAAGACAGTTTTTATTGGAACAAAATCATCCCCACTGCAAAAGAGGCTCCATGAAAAGCAAGGACCTATCTGTTTTTGCTCCCTGATTTACCGCCTCACTGAGGGAGCCTGGAATGCCTGGAATGAAGCAGGCCCTCAATAATTCTTTACTTAAGGCTGAATGAATCAATCAAACGAGCTAGCCACAACACTCTCTGACATTTACAAAAGAAGGAATATCCATGAAATTTGAGCAATGTAAGCTTAAGATAAGCAGAGGACAGTGTGACCTGACCCATCAAAAAATAAACTTAGAGACCCAAAGAGTTTCCCAGTGTCCTCTCTCACCCTCTTCATCTGGGGACCCTACTCTCTAGTTTTATTGATTGTCTCACGGCTTCTCAGGCCTTTGTCCCTGTTCTCTTAGGCTGAAATACTCCCTTTGCTTCCCTTTTCTTCATCTATTAAAATTCTGTGCCTCAAAAGAAGATATACAAATCGCCAATCAGCACATGAGAAGATGCTCAACATCATTAGTCATCAGGGAAATGCAAATCAAAACCACAATGAGGGCCGGCCCCGTGGCTTAGCAGTTAAGTGCGTGCACTCTGCTGCTGGCGGCCCGGGTTCGGATCCCGGGCGCGCACCGATGCACCGCTTCTCCGGCCATGCTGAGGCCGCGTACCACATACGGCAACTAGAGGATGTGAAACTATGACATACAACTATCTACTGGGGCTTTGGGGAAAAAGAAATAAATAAATAAACATTTAAAATGAACACTAAAAAAAAAAAAAAAACCACAATGAGATGCCACTTAACACGCACTAGGATTAGACTAAAATTAAAAAAAAAACAAAACAAAACAGTAACACATGTTGGCTAGGATATGGAGAAACTGGAACCCTCATACACTGCTGGTGGGAACATAAAATCATATAGCTGTCTTGGAAAATAGCCTGACAGTTCCTCAACCTAGCAATTCCACTCCCAATTTCAATACTCAAGATTACTGAAAATATATATCCACACAAAAGCTTGTACCTAAATATTCACAGCAGTATTATTCATAATAGCCAAAAAGTGGAAATACCCAAATGTCCATCAACTGATGAATGAAAAAATAAAATGTAGTCTTATAATGGAATAATATTGGGCAATAAAAAGGAATGAAGTACTGGTATGTACTACAACATGGATGAACTTTGAAAATATTATGCTAAATGACAAGTTAGACACATATTGTATGATTCCATTTGTTTGAAATGTCCAGAACAGGTAAATCTATAGAGACAGAAGGCAGATTTGTAGTTGCCAGGGGCTAAGGAGAGGGGAGAATAGGGAGTCAACATAGGTATGGGGTTTCTTTTTGGGATGATGAAAATGTTCTAAAGTTGACTGTGGTGATGCTTTCACAATTTGGTGAATATACTAAAAGCCACCAAAACTGTTCAATTAAATGATATGTTTGGGATGTGTAGGGTATGTGAATTACATCTCAATTAGGCTGTTTTTAAAAATTCTACACATACTTTAAGGGAAAGTTCCAATGCCCATTTCTCACCTCCTCTCATCAAAATTAATAGTTTCCTCGATGCTGTCAAACCAGTGGTTATCATATGAGTTATATATATATATTTTTATTTTTATTTTTATCTTTTTGCTGAGGAAGACTCGCCCTAAGCTGACACCTGTGTAAATCTTCCTCTACTTTGCATGTGAGTCACCACCACAGCAT